TGGTTTTTCTTCAGCCTTTTCCTGACAGACACCAGGTGGGTCAGTCAGTGTTTCAGGTTTACTTGAATCACTGTCCACTTTCTGTGCTTTGCCACCTATTTGTTTGCTCTGTTGTTGTTCAGAGAAGAACCGCTGCGTGGACTGAAGAACCTCTGCTCTCTGCTTTGCCTTCATGTCTTGTTCAGCCTTCAACGCAGCCTGGGCCTGATTACCTCTGACTCCAGATAGTGATCCACAAGGACCCCTGGCTACATGTGGCAAACGAGCATGGCTCATGAGGCCTGTGGTCAGCGGAGGAGGCATCTGACTGGCCAGTGCCATTGGTGGCCTCTGAACAGGCGCTGGGAAGGTGTTAGTATGTGGGGCTCTTACCAATGGAGGGACCAGGTTAGGCTGAGAGAGAATCTGGGGTGCAAACTGTGTAGGAAATGGTTGTGTCATCCATTGAGGTTCTTGTCTTCCAGCTCACTGACTGTTCTGTCTCTTCTGTTCTACTTTTTGTCCCTCCAGCATGATTGGCACTTCCGCCATTTTAATGTCTTAATATTCTGTATTGCATTTTCATGCCTTTCTGTTATTTTTACTAGTCTGTTGGCTATACCCTGTTTTGTGGTGATTTTTTTTTACACTTCTTATACCTGTTTATCTGTAGGTTCAATTATTTCTTCCATCTTTGGTATTTTCTTCCATAGTTGTTCAAGGTGCTCCTCATCAATATATTTCTTCTGGTTGTCTGTCTCTAGAGTAATTGCTTTTTTAATAGCTTCCATCATTTCTTCCATCATTTGCACTTTGTTCTGTAGCTGTTCCGATAACTCTGAAACAACTTATGTCTTCTGGTTGTCTGTGTCTAGGGTATTTAGTGGGTCTGCAATATGCTCTGCTTTTTTAGGAGAAGGGTTATTTTATTTTTACACAATATTTGAAGCACAGTTATTTGGCAGAGATTTTATTTTCTTTTTTTCATTTTTATACTGGTTTATTTGCAAAGTTTGCATACATTTATTTTTCACACTGGATCTTTCCCGTTTCCTTCACCCTCATGCTCCCTGTTTGGCAGTTTTTTGTTTTATTATTATTACTTTAACAAAAGTTTACAGAGACTTAGGGTTTCCAGTCATTCGTTGTTGCACTTTTCTCCCAGCGCACCCCTTCCCCTCCATTCACTCTTCTTGCAAAAGTAAAAGAAAAATTCTTTCATTGTTATGCAATCCCTCCCCCCCTCCCAAGTCCACCCCACTGTGTGGCCTTCATTCTGGACTCCTGTCATGACAATAATACCCATTCATATATCCCTCTTAAACAGGTCTCTCCCTCATCTCTTTCAATGCAGTATACATCATCCCTCCCCTCTACTCTGTCTTCCCTCAACCCCGATGGCAGTCCCAAAACTTCCAATTTTCCTAGAATCACACTTTATACATCCCATGTTCCAATTATTAATTGATGTTTGCAGCTATTTTGCCACATTTTGAGTCTTGCAAAATCTACCAATGAAGGTCTTTTATTGTCTGAAAGCTTTACTCCATCACAATCATCATGGTGGTCTCTACTTTGAGAAGGCAACTCTTGCCCAGTCTTGTTTTTGATAACTTCTAACCTTAGAGGCTCATCTTCTGGCACTAAAGGCAACAATATTCTTCTGTTGTCTGGAGGGTTCTTGCAGGCCTGTTGTTTCAGAAGTAGATGGTCAGTCCTGCTGACCATGGTCTGGATGCTGTGCTGAAACATGTCTCCTGTGAGTGACGATGCTAGTATTTGAAATTCCAATGACATAGCTTCCAGCATCATAGCAACACAAGATACCATGGTAGGCAGTCTGACAGATGAGTGAGTGGTGGTGGTGGTGGTGACGGAGGTGTTATTGTTACATGTCATTGAGTTGGAACCAACTCGTAGCTGACCCTCCAGTGGGTTTTCAGAGGAAATAGATCACATGGGAGGAGATTGCCCATCTTTCTTGCCCGGAATAGCTGGTGGATTTAAACTGTGTCCCTTTGACGTGTGTGTGTGTGTGTGTCTACACAGCATGTTAGTTGACATCGAGTTGACTGTGACTAATAGCAACACTATAAACAACAGCTCTAAATCTTGTCCTGTGGTGCCCCATCCTCACTGTCTCTCATGCTCATGTCCATTATAGTGGTCACAGTGTCAGGGTGTCGGTCCATCTTTTTGAAGATTTTATTCCCTTTCATTGACTATTTTTCCCACCATTATGTCTGGCTTCAAAGATTTGGGTTGATATTGCTTCTCTAGGCAGTAATCTTAAAAATATTTTAAAAGACTCTTGTGCCGCATGAAGGAGTCCTCATGATGAAGTGAGTTACATGTTGCACTGCTAACCAAGGGGTTAGCCCAAGTCCACCAGTTGCTGTGAGGGGTAAAGCTGAGACAGACTGTTCCAACTAAGATTTAAAGCTTCAGAAACCTGGTGGAGGGTCACCATGAGTCAGCATTGAGTCAACAGCATTGCATTTGCTTTTGGCATCAACTCACAACTCAGTTATGACCTCTTTTAATTTTGAAAGCAAAGAATTCTAAAGTACCTAGGTTGAAATTCACTAGAGTCTTTAACTATTTCAGATTTTGAAAAGTATCCCCAAAACAATGGCATGATTAGTACTTCTGTGATGTTGAATTAAATCTGCTAATTCTTTCACCTTATTTAACCTGCTCTATAAGGGGCTGTAATAGCACAATAATTAAGCACTCAGCTGCTTACCAAAAGTTTGGCGATTTGAACCCACCCAACAGCTAAGTTAATACAAAGCCCTGTCAGTCTGCCTGCATGGAGACTGTTGTTGGTTGTTGTGTACCATTGAGTCAGAACCACGCAGCTTCTTGCCACTAGGCCACCAGAGCTCCTTGGAGACTACACCTGGGAAGGTCCTGCTGCTATCTGGGTCATTAGGAGTCAGAATGGACTTGACTTTATCTAATGGCAACAGCAGTAACATCCTAGCATAGTTGGAAAATAAAGATGTTAATTTATTACCCCTTCCCAATATTTTTTATCATGACACGCGTGTATCATAACACATTCTACATTTATTTTTCCCTAAACTTTGGCATCCATTAAGTGAATGAAGCATAGTTGAGGTGACAAAGCCAGTTTCATCATCAAACACAAACCAGACTTTCTGTCAGGATAAATCCTGAATTAATTTTCCAGTTATAATTAACATGTTAATATAATCTAAGGAAAATTATCAGAAGTCATCAGGGATAAATCAAGATGTATCTTAGGTTGGTTATTAGATGCAGTTAGAGTTCTAGCAGTGCAGAACTGCATACAGACACTACTTAGTGAGCTGTGATGATTTTGGTTCAGAGTATGCCTAGTGTCCCAGTGGGGTCAAGAGAGCCTGCAAATCCTGCTCTGAACGTTTGTTCAGAAAATGTAAGTAATAATCCCATGTAAAAGTAAGAAATACTCCTCTCTGTTTCACTAGATTTATTATTAAAATCTTGCATATTCAGTGGGAAAAACATGTACTGTTGGAGACTGGTTGGACACTAGCTTATTCTGGACCCAAAAGATGGAAAGATCAAGGTTGTCTGTGATGAGCTAGACATCTCATAATATGCAGAGAGTTCTAGACTCTCACTAAGTTTGCAAGAATCTTACCTGTTCCCCAGTCACATCAGATAAATATTGAAAAAATTTGCTCATCTCTAACTGTGAGTGGGGATCTGCTATACTGTGCCAGCCTGGCCCCTCCCAGGGGAGGGGAATTCAGAGAGCAGATGAAGCCAGTTCCTGGCAGGCTTTAGGTGTGACTAGTCAGAAAAGGTGGTTTTCCCCAAGTTAGAGTTTTCAGTTAGCCTATTGTTTGCTCCTGGGAGATCTTTCCTCCTTGAGGCCATGTGGGAGGTGGAGATAGCTTTCCTATGGTGGGTGAGGAACGGTGGGTGAAGATGTCCCCTGGACATGGATTCTGTGTCATCCAATGTGGTCCCCTTACATGAGGCAGCTTGGTGGGGTTCAGGTCACAGACCTCGGAAGAACCTCACGTTTGGTATGCCAGATCTAGGTGCTGTCAGCATTAGAGGTCACTGTGTGCCTGGGCTAAGTTCAGGTAGTATCAGTGTACTGAAGGGCACCAGCCACTGCAGGATAAACCCAGGCTCCTTTTGCAGGTGAGAATGAGCCTAGGCCAGCAGCCCAGTGGAGAGTTGTCTCCTTGGGTGGGGACACACTGGGTCACTTTCTTCAGGTGGGAGGTAAGCTTGGATCCCCATCCACAAGGGGCATGAAAGGGGTGATGCTGCTAACTGAAAGGTTGGTGGTTCAAAGCCATTAGTCACTCACTGTGCAGGTGGAAGATAAGCAGTGTCCTCCCTGAAGACTTGTGGTCTTGGACGCCCAGTGGAAGTGGCCAGGAGTGCCTGTCACCGTTCCACACGCATAAGACTCCTTCATCTTTCCATTTTGCTTTTTTTGAAATGCAAGTCAAGCAAGACACTTCCTTTTTGCTGAAAATGAAAATATAGTGTTTTCCAGGCCCTTAGAAAAAGCCTGGCAACTTATCTACCTTGCTTCTTCCCTGACTGTGTCATCTGTCCTGTGACCCTTGTTCCTGCAGGCTTGTCCCTATGAGGTTCTTACGCAGCCGTGAGAGCGAGGAGAGGTCTGCAGAGGACTCCTACACTCATATTTGCAATGCATGTTGAAATTCTTCTTTTCCCTCCCTCTCTAGGATTCTCTGAATCCCTCTCTCTCTGCTAGGTGGGGAGCACTTCCTTTCCCACACCCAGTGGCCCTGCTGGGACCCACTTCCTGCTGTCTATTTGTTGAAGCTCTGTTCTACCCCCACTGTGCCTCATTGCCAGGCCCTCCTTCCTTCACTTCTCAGTTAGGAGACCAGCCCCCTCTTCCTGCTGTCTGTTCACCCTGTCTTTTCTGTTGTAGTTTGGGGCTGAATTCCGGAGATTCTCCCTGGACCGGCACCGACCAGGCCGGTTTGAGGACTTCTACCAGCTGGTGGTACATACCCACCAACTTGCCAGTGCCGACGTGACCCTGGGCTACGCGGATGTGCATGGGGACCTGTTGCCCATCAATAATGATGACAACTTCTGCAAGGCAGTGTCCAGCGCTTGCCCTCTGCTGCGTGTCTTTGTCCAGAAGCGAGGTACGTGGCTCAGCCTATCACAGAAGCAAGTTAAAATGTGTTTTGCCAGCTTCTTTTATCTGAAAGGCTACATTGAAACTGCCTTCCCCACATTAAGTGGTGTTGATTTCTGACTTTTAAATCCTGAGGAAAAAATGGTACTATTTCAACATTTTGATTGTGAATAAGAAGTTCAGTAGGGCAGAGGAAGGCAGAAGTCTAAGAGCACAGCTAACTTAAGGCTGGTGTGTGTTTCCATGATCTTTGTAGTGTTGGAAAAAATGTTAGCTGTAAATTATAGCATTGGGCAATTTTTAGCTCTTAAAGCCTGGTTTTACTGTTCAGTAATAACAGTCTCATTTTCTGTGAAAATAAATAAATGACTCATAGAATGTGGGGTGGGAGTGAGGGGTGAGGGTCCTGATCTCTTGGCACTGCATTTTAGAGGCTTTTTTCTAGCCTCTAAATCTCCTCTATTGGAAGCAGGAGTGGCATCCACTTCCTAAATAACATGCATCCGGAAACTCTGTGAATTTTGATAAATGACGATAGTTATAGAAAGGCTTCAGGCCTTTTTTCAATAGGGTCACTATGAGTCATGCTCGACTCGACAGCAATCAGCAACAACAAACCTAACAGGATAGCTCACATTTTGAAACAATATAACTGAAGGGGGAAAAAACAGTGCAGTGAAGGGTTGTGGGGTCAGGTACCACCTCCCAGGTCCACTGGGCATGTGGGGCACAGCATTCATGAAGCCATCATGCAAGCCCCATTCCAGTGTGTCCCATTGGGAGGAAGGTACATCCAGGCTCCCTGAGCTCAGGATAGTTCTTGAAGACAGAGAGGGATGGCTGCATTGTGCTGGGGACAGAGGGGAGGGATTGCCAAGTTGGATAGGCGAGTCAGTCACTCTGACAAGTAGCTTTTAGTCTCTTATCTCTTTCCTCACGGCAAAGTGGACACTGGAAGTGGACCTCTGTGAAATTACTGTGATGGCTGGGATGGCTCTCTGTATATAGGACAGATAAAAATGTTGCATATGGTGTATTATCATAACATGTTTTAACATCATGATGTCACGGGGACTGGAGGTGATGGTTAGTAGAGTAGTAGATGTGCTGTGCCCTCATCCAGTCTTTTTGGGCTTGAACAGGCCTGGATGATGTACTATCCAACTTCATACAGTCCAGGGCAGTCCCTGACATTTTCCAAGAACTTTATGGAAATGAGGGAGTCCTGCTGTAATCTTCATTGCACTAAAGAGTCTTGTTGCTGCATCAGACTTGGGCACCTTGATGCCCACAGACATCCTTTGTCCTAAAAGAGCAGGCTTCCTTGGGTTGCAGCCAGAACACAACTCTGATCAAACTGGGAATCAAGCTGCTTTCCACACAGCACCACAGCCTCTCCTGTTCCACTGCTGGTGCTCCGCAACCTGTGTGTGTGTGTGTGTGTGTGTGTGTGTGTGTGTGTCATCTTTTGCCCTCAGGAGACACTGTCTACATCGAGTCCTGATACTCCATCCCCACAGCTTTCTCATGTTGCCAAAGCCTGGACCTTAGGAAGCTCAGAGCTGTGTCGGGACCTAGCAGGACATTGGCCAGGACCCTTGTGCTTTGGCTATCACAGTTGCTCCACCTGCCTTCTTTTTGATCACAGTTAGTCAGGCAGCATTCCTCTTCCCACACTGAGCCTTTCAAGACCCTAGTCATGAATAGGACATTTCCATTACTTTTCCCCAAGACTCCTGCTGTCACTCACTTAATAACAAAAACAAGCTCACTGCTACTGGGTCCATTCAAAATCATTTGCTGTTAGGTGTTGTTGAGTTGACTACACTCATAGCGACCCTATGAACAATATATCTAGTAACCCTTTAATAACGTTTGGGGTTTTTTCCCTTTTTTCTCAAGAGTTGTCTCCAAGGTCGCTTAGGGCAACTCATACGTGCAACAGGCTGCGTACACTACCAAGGAGTTGCTCTTTGCAGCCATTGCACACTGGCCCCCACAGAAAAGGAGGATGGTCAGCTTAATTAGCTGCTGACCCCTAAATAACTTTTGTAATGGATATATTTTGTTTAAATATACTTAGAAAGAAATTCCACAGTTTAGTCACAGATAAAAGTCAGTAATATACCTTTACTTGTGTTTTTAAAAAGAATCGTTTCACAAAGTAAATAAAATTTTTAAAAATGGATACATTTTCCACCTAAAATTATTTCTTCCTCCACACAAAGAACATCATGATGAAATACCAGCGTCTCTCATGTGTATATATGTAAAAACCACTCAAAAAATGCTAGCATGTGGAAATATGCTGTGTACATATACAACCTAGACAGCGATGTTTGTAGGAGCACCATTTGCAATAATAAAAAAGTGGAAACAACCTTTATGTCCATTAACAACTGAATAAATAGGCTTAAGGTGCCCTGTCCATGCAATGGAATATGAATCGGTCACAAAGAGATTGAAAATCTAGCACACACTGTGATTGTAGTGAATTTTAAAGCATGCCTAGTGACATTCTAGAAAACTCAAACTCGTTGCCCTCAAGTTGGAACTGACACATAGTTGACCTTCCAGTAGGTTTCCGAAAGCTGTAAATCCCATGGAAGGAGACTGCCTATCTTTTCCAGAAGGAACACTGGTGGGTATAAACCACAATAGGCTCTGCCTTCGAGTCAACTGTGAAATCCCTACGAACTACACGACTAGATCTCAAAATAGAACAGCAAAGTCAGTCAGTCACAAAGGGACAAATATTGTAGAGTTCTAGTTCTGTGAACTGTATGGAAGAGGCAAATCCATGGAGACAAGATAGGCTAGAGGTGCCAGGGGCTAGAGGAGGTATAAGTTTCTTTTTAAGAGTGCTAGGATATTCTGCAATTTGTGATGATGGATGAGTAATGCTGCAGCTATGTTTAAAAGGCACTGAATTTTGTACAAGTGGACTTTAGAACAGTTGTTGTTATTTTTATGTTCCATCAAGTTGCCTGCAATACCATACTGAGTCTGTAGACCAAAACACTAAGCCCTATACTGTGCCAGTCTTACTGACCCCAACATACCTACGCCCGTTACCCCATTTACTGTGTCAATCCATCTCATCCAAGATCTTTCTCTCCTTTACTGCACCCTTCCAAGCATGATGCCCTTCTCCAAGGACTGGTCCCTCCTGGCCACCTGCCCACAGTATGTGAGATGGAGCTTCAAAATCCTTGTCTCCAAGGAGAAACTTGCTTCAGTCTCCCCAAGACACACCTGTTCTCTTGGTGGCCCATGGTTCAATATTCTTCTCCAGCACCACAACTCAAAGGTGTCGATTCTTCTATAATCTTTAGTCCTTATCCAGCTCCCTGATGCATAGCCAGTAACTGCAAAAGACCAAGATGGATGCCAGATAAGACTCTGAATATTGCATTAGAGCACCAAGAAGCTGAAGATAAAAGGAAGGAATTAAAGAGCTAGACAGAAAATTTCAAAGAGCAGCTTGGGATGACAAACCAAGGTTTTATAATGAAATGTACAAAGAGCTGGAGTCAGAAAAATCAAAAGGGCCAAACTCGCTCAACATTTCTTAAGCTGAAGGAATTGAAAAACAAGTTCAAGCCGTGAGTGGCAATACTTAAGGATGCCTTGGGCAATATATTAAATGATCCAAGAATTATTACAAGAAGATGGACGGAGTATACAGAGTCACTGTACCATAAGGAATTGGCTGACACAGAATTTCATGAAACAACATAGGAGCAAGAGCCTGTGGTGATGAAGGAGGAAGTTCAAGCTACTCTGAAAGAATTGCCAAAAAACAAAGCTTTAGGAGTTGATGGCATACCAATTGACATATTTCAACAAACAGACGCTGACTGCTGTCCTGGATGTGCTCACTAAGTTGTACCAAGAAATCTGGAGGATAGCCACCTGGCCAACTGACTGGAATAGATCGATATTTGTTCCCATTCCAAAGAAAGGTGACCCAACAGAGTGCAGAAATTATCGAATATCATTAATATCACATGCAAACAAGATTCTGCTGAAAATTACCAAAAAACAACTGGAGTAACACATCAGCAGAGAACTGCCAGATGTACAGGCTGGGTTTAGAAGAGGCCATGGTACTAGGGACATGATAGCTAACATTAGATGGATCGTGGCAGTAAGCAGAGAATAGTACCAGGTGAATGTCTATCTGTGTTTCATTAAAAATGCAAAGGCATTTGACTGTGTGGCTCACAACAAACTGTGGCTGACTCTGAGAAGAATGGGAATCTCAGAACATTTGATTGTGCTCATGCAAAACCTATACTTGCACTAAGAGGCAGTCGTCAGAACAGAGCAAGGAGACAGACCAGAGCAAGGGGGTCAACCAGGGATGTATTCTGTCTCCATATCTTTTCAATCTATACACAGGACAGATCGTCCAGGAGGCTGGGCTGTATAAGGAGGAATGTGGCATCAGAATTCGGGAAAGATTCATCAATAGCCTGCATTATGCAGATGACACAACCCTGCTTGCTTGCTAAAACTGAGGAGGACCTGAAGCACATGCTGCAGAAGGTCAAGGAGCGCAGCCTTCAATACGGATTGAAGCTCAACATCAAGAAAACAAAGATTCTCACCACGGGGCCAATTGGCAGCATCAATTATGGATGGTGAAGAGATTGAGATTGTTTACAGTTTTAGTTTGCTTGGTTCCACAGTCAACACTCTTGGTCCCAGCAGCCAGGAAATCAAGAGACAAATCCCATTGGGAAAGTCAGCTGTCAGGGACCTCTCCAGAGTACTAAAGAGCAACAACATCAGGCTAGAGACTAAGGTATACCTGATCCTGGATATAGTCTTTGCAGTCACGTGCTATGCATCAGAGAGCTGGACAGTGACTAGGGATGATAGAAAGAACTGTTGCCTTTGAGCTGTGGTGCTGGGAAAGAGTGTTGAATATACAAAGGACTGTTAGGAGAACAAACAGGTTTGACCTAGAAAGGCTGAAACCAGGCTGTTCCTTGGAGGCAA